CGGTGGAATAATCCTACACAAAAAAGAGACTGCTGTTTCCAGTTCCTTCAACGGAAAGGATATCGCTATCTGTGTTCCTGTCAAAAAACTGGGAGCGTTTTAGTGGCGGTACTCACCCACACCTCAGAATTTACGCTTATTCCCGGTGTCTAGATCTATTTTTGACTGCAGCAATGTTTAATGGGATTAGGAGACTTAAATTAGGAATAAGCTCTGATGGGTCACGGTTGTGTTTCTTCTTACCGATCACGGACCTGTTTCAGAAAAAGGGAAAGTAATGATATAGAAGTGCGGAGCTTAACCTATATCCCTCTCCCAATCCACTTGACACTTTTTTTATCAAACATATTTATCGCTATTTGTTTTTGGTTCACATAACCTAATTTCAAACAGGGCGAAACCAGGGGAAGGGATAGTCACTGGAAATGTCAGATCAATTCATGAATCATATCAAGAAGAGTGGGAGGCATCCGATCATGCTTGATGCTCTTCCATCCTTTTTAGTAGTACATGATGCATACTGTTTCACAGTCTTGCATCTTGATCCGTAATAGGTCTTAGACGTTTTTCATCTCCTTTAGAATTAATTTTTTTTTCCATTCTATCGTCTACCACAGATAATGATTTCTAATTTCAATGCAAAGTAAGTTTTCTGCCAGCTTCTTCTCAAAGAAAATATCGATCAGTACTCTCTAAGTAGCTTCATATAACATCCAAGTGACCGAAAGATATGGCTTCTACTTTATTTAAATCTCCATAGACTACGGTGTTCGTTTTTTTAGGAGTTTGTCCCGGTTTCGCTAAAACAACGATAACCTTGCCATTACGAGAGTGTTTAATGCTTCTTATGGTTCTTGGCGTGATCGTAGCAACCGCTATTATGCCATCTACATAGCCGTGAAACTACTGTACAGCGGTAGTTAAAGAGCTATTTTGTCCTGCCGTCGGTGAACGCTCTTGAATAGGTTTCTTCAAAATTTGCAGCTTTTTTCAATTAAGCTAGTTATTGACGAGGGTGCGTAAAATAGGCACTCCTAGAACGAGGAGGAACTAGTGTGATATTTAGTGTTTTTTCTAAATAACCGTGCCATCCGAATCCGCTTTTCAGCACCGACTGTGCCCACCGTTCCCATACTTTCACCCAAGTTCAACACATTTATGATCGGAATCAAGTGTTTTGGACTTAGCTCGGGGTTATGGCGACATAAAACCATATGATTAACGTCTTCTTTCCCCATTTGTGCACTGGCCACATTCATTCCTTGCTCTGACGCATTGCCGACGTCCCGCGACAGTTGGTTACGCCCATTGACTCACAGTGAAACTTACGATCGTCGCAGGCTGGTCGTACCCAAGAGGAAGTCGGCAATGTGCCAACGCAAGGCCTGAATGCGGATGCTGCTGGTGGGTAAGCCTTATACTAGATACCTTATATTTATTGCTCTTTCGAACCTAAGACTTACAATTGGTGGGTGTGACCGTAGCTGACACTCCGTTTATACTCAGCTACTAGGCGAAGGATGCTTGCCAATGATGCAGTGATAGTAATCTTATAGTGAAAGCATAGGTACAGGTCATTTACTCAGAGGCTATTTACTTTACTATTTAATACCCATTTCCCTACTGTACTCGTCTAATCTCCTTTCTTTCACCACGAATAGTTCATTTACGTCACCGCCAGTCATTCACCAGCGATCACTTTTCCGTGGTTAATAGAGTGTGACGGCAATCGTATTAGTGCTTCATTTTAAGAATCAAATAAATCATAGTCTTAGTTCTCCTCAAGTACCACTTCACATCGTTCCGTCGTCTCGTCGTTTCGACCCCGGATTCAAGTTTATTTTTTGTATGATACTATGCCAGTTTCAGTAACATATCGACAGTCATTGGCTTTCGATGTGATCAAAGGTCTACGGTCATTTGAACGACGTCGAGTATGACCTAGAAAAAGGTGAGCATATCATTCTGTTATCGTTTCATTTTATCCTGGATCGAATTGGATCTGTTCATTTTCTTTTTTGCTCTATGGTGGTCCAGGGCTATCAGTTACCTTCATGTTTCATCAACGCCTTATGTGAACGTTTTAATATCTTCATTCATAAAAGTGGTTGTTTCCCACACTGAGCAAGAATGCGTCCTTCATATTTAGTGCTTGACAGGTATAAAATACTGATCTATGAGAAGGAACCGACGCACGCCCGTGAGAACTCATTTAATTTCCCATTATTCCCCGCTATAATAGCATCTGCAGTTCTACAAAGGTTTCGAAAAAATAAATTGGTCATTATCTTTCACTGGTTCTGTTCCTTCTGATAATGGGAAAATTTAAATGCTTCAACTGACGAAAATATGAAAAGGACCTGGAATTTCTCGGGTTCATTGCCCTCTTTTCATTATTCGAGTCGTAAAAATTCAAATCAATAAGCCTGCTTTGTGGTTTTCCCAGTTTTTATGAATACACTTTGACGAAGGGAATCTGCAGTAATAGTCAATCTTTTAATTTTTCCTTGTGAATATGTGGTCTGCTTTTATCAGTTTTTGGAAATCGAACGCCGCAACCCATTGCAACCGCTCAGCCTTTCAATTTGAAAAGATATATTGCCGCTAGTGAAATGCAATCGTTCGCTTGTAAAGGAAAATGGTGATTAGCTGGCATAAG